GGTCTCGAACCCACGGGCTCGGGCAGTCCACTCACCTCAGCCTCCCAAAGGCGCGGGATTACAGGCTGAGCCACCGAGCCTGGCTCACAACTGTCTCTTAATCCTCATCCTCTTCCTACCTCACTGGCGGCTCTTTCCTGACTTCCCAGACTTTAAAAACTGTTGAGGTTCAGGCCTCGGATGTCTTTTCTTATTCAACCACACTTTCTCACCACGTGATGTCATCGAGTTCCATGGTTTTACATACCATGTTGTATGCTGACGGGGCAAAATGTTTATCTTCAGCTCTTCTCTTTTTCCTGACCTGCAGATTTATATCTTTACTAGAATCTCTAACAGGTATCTCAAACTCAGCATGTTCCAAACTAAACTTCCGATTCCTACCGTTCCCCGCAACCCACTCTTGCAATTTTCTCCAGCTCAGTAAATAGCAACTCCATTCCTCTAGTTGGTCAGGCCAAAAACCGTATCATCATCCATGACTCCTTGGTTTCTCTTTGACACCCCCCCAGGTAAAAGAGGGTTAGGGTGACGTGTTCAGTCTGTCACAAATCCTATTCGTTCTACTTTCAAATTATATCCCAAAACTTAACACCTCGCCACTTCCACTGCTACCACCCTGGACCAAAGCAAAACCATCTCTCCAAAGAAGTGCTTCAATAGTTCTCTAACTGACCTCGGTACTTCCTCCCGGCCCCACGTCATCTATTCTCAAGTCAGCCAAGTGATCTGCTAAAAAAGTAAACCAGAAGCAGGTTCCTCTTGTGCTCAGTGTCCTCCCACAGGTTCCCATCTCATTCAGCATAAAAGCCAAAGTCCCTACCCCGGGCCCCAAAGTCTTGCGTGGACAGGCCGCCCACCTCCTTCTCACCTCATTACCTACAGCTTTCTCCCCGACTTTCTCAGCTCCGGCCACCCCAGCCTCTTGGGCGTCCTAGAAATCACTGTGGGTCCTTCTGCCTCTGGGCATCTGCACCGTGTTCTCTCCACCTCCACTCGCCTCCGCCTCAATCCGCTCCACATCTTTCCAGCCAGTCTTCTATCCCGAGATATTTCCATGACTCACTTGTCTTCCACATCTCGGTCCAAATGTCACCTTAAGAGCGAGGTCTCCTCGGACACAGCCCGTATCTCGGGCTCCGTTGCCTCCGAAGGACGGCACTTCTGGCACTTCTGAGCCTTTTCTAGGCGTCTGTCTTTCCCGAACTGTACCGTCAGCCTCGTGAGGGCAGAAACTTTGTTGTGTTCACCCGCGTGTCCCCAGGGCCTGGGAGAGCGCCTGGCAAAAGTCGGGGACTCCGT